CAGCAGTACTGTGCATTGCAGATGTTGTATCACATAACTTTTAAAGAGGAAAGACAGCCTGTGCCTTAGACACACAGCACTCACTGAGTCACCGATAAACCTGCAGTATGATTCAGCAGTCTGTTCACTTCTCAGAACATAGGGGACACTGTGTTTCTACATATTAGATTAAAACCCATCTGAAAGAACAAAATATACTTCAATAAGCTTATGCTCAGATGGATTTTTCTCCTGTGTATTTGAGTAAAGGACACAGGAAAGTGCGGGTCCAGCAGTTGCATCAGAAGAGGTGGCACGTTTGCACTGCAGTATGATGCAGAGCCGGCGTCTTTGGTTTCTTCCCACCAGCAAAAAAAATGAAATGCAACCAAATCGATCCAGCACTGGCCCTCAAAGTGCTCACGCAGAGAAATAGACCCTGAGCGCTGCTGCATTGCAGTGGATGCGCTGCACAGCTATTTTTAGGGAGCATTTATTTTGAGACTCGCTGCGTCTTGCAGGTATTCTCACAGACAGTGACTCCACTACATGGGACTAAACCTGCAAACTTTGCATTGGGGTAGTTGACATGAAATACTTTTTGGAACTTGAAATGTCCTGTGTGACAGTTTTCTAATCAGTTTATTGTTATTATACATGCCCCTGTTATCAGCACATAATAATTAAAGGCACATGAAATATTTGTATTTTCAAATATCGATTTGTTACACCGCAGGGCCCTTGAACTAGCGGAAGTGAAAAGGTTTTTAAAAGTGGTGGAAAAACTTAGATAAGATATACACTCCTTTTTACAATACAGTTTCAATTTTTGACTTTTTATTACTTGCTTATTTTTAGTTATTTAATTGCGACTCCTTGACTCTGATGCTTCACTCAAGTTACAACTAAATTAATTTAATGTTCTATAACTGCACAGCTATGCTATATTATTTTAGTGTTTTATATGTTTTATATACTATTATATTATATTAATATTTTGAGTTGGCTTTTATTTTTATTTTTAGCTTGCATTTTAGTTTTGTTATGTTATTGTTATGCATTTGTCCTTTTATTAGTTTTTGTATTGTTTAGTTATTTTTAATTTCAATTTTTGTTGGAGTAATTTTAGTACTTCAACTTATTTCAGACTTTTAGAGCTGCTTTACAGCACAATTGAATTGTGTTTTCATCATTAAATCATTATTTTCTTCTGTATCCCTTTAAGGCTACTTTGCAGTAATCTGTACTGTATGAAGTGCTATATAAATAAAAGCTTGACTTGACTTTTTAAATTCATATTAGTTTTAAACTAAAATCTCGATGGAAAGTCCATGGAAAGTCAAGTTATATGTCAACTCCATTTCAGCCACCACTTGACTAAACCTTGGGAATTTTCCTGGTAATTTCCTTCTTTATGACCAGGTCGGTGTTCATTAACATGTCAAAAGACTCAAGTACAAGCATGAAGGTTACACAGCAACCCAATTGTCCCTCCTCTCCTTTGCTCATCACTCATGTTTATTTGTAGCATCTTCGCTGTTTGCCGCCAGACTTTGGCTGCATTGAGATGTGCTCATACGTGAGTTGAATGATTTGGCTCATGTCTCTCACCTTGAAAAGGCTCAAATGCACTCCTGCTGTTTTGCTGACAGTTGAGGTGCCCGTCACTGTGAGCGCAGGTTGCCAAAATGCCAATATCGCATGAATAGTGTCTATTTAAAATCTTGCCATTCTACAGTCTTTTTATTTGGCGTTTTCTGACGGTCAGTCGTATGCAAATGCACGTCACTTTCCCGTCCTCAGAAAACACTGAACGTTGTTGTGATGTGACGGATGATAAAATGTGCCTGATCACTAATGCTGCAGGTTTAATGGGAGTGAAAAACGGCAATTAGATTAACGGGACAAAAGCAATCTGTTACGCTGTCAATTATTCATGCAGCGCTGGTTGTCTCAAACATCAGCAGTTCGGATGGTAAAGATTTAATTACATTTAGCTCAAAGGCAGAATGTCTCCTGCTTCAGTGGTCACCTGATGGGGTCTGTGACCTACGAATCTAACTCAATTATCTGTCAGGATGAAGCCTGAGTTTTATTCTAATCTGCTCATCTTCATCATACCTTCAGTGGCTGATGTCCAGTATCGACAGTGTCGAGGGGAAGTCAGGACGGCCGGATGTGGCCATGCATCCCGGCCCGTAAATGAAAGTAACCTGATGTCAGAGCTGGTTAGAGAAGGCTATGGATATTTCCTGGTGGAATCGGTTTGGTCCTAAAAGCAGAAAATAGAGCCATTAGTATGTGAAGTCATGAAGTAACTTCAGGAGGTTCTCAGTCAGTCACGCAGGGAATCGGGGGAATTCACGGCTGGGTTGTCAGAAGGACTGATGTCCAGAACGTGTGCTCATTTTTTCCCTTCTGAAAAAGAAATACAATTTTAAAAAGTACTAACACTGTAAGCTGAATGTAATTTTTTTTTGAAACTTTACTTGCATGTTATTTAGAATTAAAAGAAAATTTAGTATAGTTTAAATTTGTGTTAAATGCAAATAAATGTATTGTCTTTGAAATGTGGATCAAATATACAGCCAAATTTTCCTCTCTGCCCTAGTGAAAAATAAATATACTAAAATGTATTTGAAATACATTTATTTCATGCTAGGTCTAAATACATTTACATATTTATATACTTAATAAAAAATACTCTTCAATTGCACTTTTGGTACACTAAACTGGTATACTTAAAGTCTGCTAAATTGGAACAACTAATTTTGTGCTTAATGCACTTTAATTGTGCGAAAGTAGAAGTCCAACTAAAGAAGTATATTTGATTGTGCTAAAGTGGAACTAAATTGCAAGTATACTTCAGGTACACTTTAAATATACTTTAAATGTCCTCATTTGTAAGTCACTTTCGATAAAAGCATCTGCAAAATGACTAAATGTAAATATAATGTAAATGTAAATATCTTGCATTTAAAGACAGATATTATTCAAAGATCATGCAATCCTTGTAAATAGCGGCATTAAAACACATTTTAGGCTTAATATTAAGAAATGTGCATTGTGCGCAAGTTGTACTCCAAATAGAGTTTAATTATAATGTTTATCTCAGTAAGTCTTGAGCGATATGTCAATAACTATATAGAAATATGGATTTGAACTATACTTAGAAATAAATATATTTTAAATATAATACTTTTTTACGTCATCAGAGAAGAGATGTTGTTGCAAGGAGAGGGAAAGTTATTTTGAAAAAAGATTACAAGGAAATATGAATTTATATATACACTGCCATTCAAAAGTTTGGGATCAGTAAGATTTTTATTGTTTTTAAAGAAGTCTCTTATGCTCATCAAGGCTGCATTTATTTGATCAAAAATACAGGAAAAAAGGAAATATTGTGAAATATTATTGCAATTTAAAATACCAGTTTTCTATTTTAATATACTTTAAAATATCATTTATTTCTGTGACGCAGTGCTGAATTTTCAGCATCATTACTCCAGTCTTCAGTGTCACATGATCTTCAGAAATCATTCTAATATGCTGATTTATTATCAATGTTGAAACAGTTGTGCTGCTTAATATTTTTTTTTTTTCGGAAACTGTGATGTTTTTTTCAGGATTTTTTTATTAATAAAAAGTTTAAAAGAACAGCATTTATACAAAATAGAAATAATTTCTAACCATATACAGGTGCATCTCAATAAATTAGAATGTTTGAAGACTGGAGTAATGATGCTGAAAATTCAGCGCTGCATCACAGGAATAAATTATATTTTAAAGTATATTAAAATAGAAAACTGGTATTTTAAATTGCAATAATATTTCACAATATAGATAAAATCATTTATAATAAACACTGCCATGTTCCACAAAAAAAAGTAAGAATAGTCCATTTAGATTTTATGGTGACTTTAAAAGTGCACTTAAGTGTGTTAAGAAACAGTCATGAAAGTGTACTCTACACTTAAGAGACCTTTTATTTCATATATTATCTAAAAGTACAGTTTTTAAAAATATCCTTTTAAGATTTGAAGTGGGCTATAAGTACAGATTCAATACAGTTAAGAGGGCCGGCCAGGTTGTGACGACTTTGATTATTCAATGCTGCATTGATGACGCATTAGAGACGCAATGCCAGATGTGACGCGTGAGCTGGTGTAGAGGTGCTCAGTTAAAAATGTTGATGAGCAGGGACTTTGCAGACCGCTGTGGCTGGAGGAAGTGCAGAGGAAGGCAGTAGATCTAAAGGGCTCAGGGAAACACTTTGTCATCCCAGTGGTTGTCGACACACAGCAGTGATGCGCTTTCGTATTTCCAGATATTATCGAAATGTTACAGGTACGGACTGATATTATTTGATGCTGTTCAGATTTCTAGAATTGGTGTTCGTTTGAAACTGTCACATGCTTAAAACTAAATCACGGCATTGCATGATAGTGCTGCTTTGTAAATGGCTATATTTGAGCAGAAACATAATTATTTTAATGGTGCTCGTCTTTGACTCTGTGTAGGCGTGCAATGAAGTAGCTGTTGAGAAATATTGCATTTATTTCGGTCTCAACAGCCTGATGTTCATTGATGGCCTTCTCTCCTACTCGTCTTATATTTAGCAGATATTTTGTGAAGGTCATTTGAATCAGACACCCATACTGTGCATGTCATGATCTGCAGCTCAGACCCTTGATCTTAGACTAGTGAAGCTAATCATGCTGTGCATTGAAACTCTAACCTAACTTGCTGTGCATAGACCTTCTGACAACTTTAAACAGTTTAACAGTTTAAAAAATGTAATTTCATAAGTCAGAAACATCTTTCATGTGGGCAATCTTTATGGGCTTGCTTTCTCTTAATTTGCTTAGTAGCACTAACATAGTGTTACTGTTCACAGAAGCTCTAAACTAAGCATGCCGTGCATTGAAGCTCTAACATAACTTGCTGCACCTCATCGTTGATTTTCTGCAGTAAAACTGTTCCCTGCTCAGTGCACTTATGTGTTGTGTTGATCTGTGCAGCGGCCACCAGCACCACTCCCTCAGCCAAGACCTCCAGTCATGTGACGCGCTGCAGCGAGAGCGAGAGGAATTACTGCGTGAACGGCGGCGAATGCTTCACGCTGGAGGTCACACCCGGCAACATCAGACGCCTCTGCAGGTACAGCTGCTCATCCGCACGCGTTTAACACTGAGAGATTCAGTCTGCCAGTCGCAGAGCCATTCTACTGTGAACGTGTTTTTCTTAAGTCATTTCAGTTGAGGTTTGATTCTCAGGCAGTGGCGTGAGAGAGGTAGTAATGCCTCCTGAAATAATTCAATGAGAAAATATCGACAGTACAACATACTGTAAAACAATGCCGATATATCACTCTTTTAAAAAAAGGACCAGCGACACCAGCTATTGAAGTTGCAGTGGGAGGCGCTGTCTTCTCTTGCTTCCTCTGAGCTCATTGGGTTTTAACCGAAAAAGCAAAGCATAAAGGGTTTGGTGGGTGGTAATTGCAACATAGGCTCATTGGAAATACGTGCCTCTACCTACATTTCTGCAAAACTCAAAAAACTTACCTATACACAGGAATCGCTGCAGTTTCCAGTTGAAATGAACACTAGAGGCAGTAAAACTCCCACAACTTTTATTCCTTTCCACACAAAATATGATTTGCAGGTCCACAGTTTCGATTTATAACGCCTACATTTACTTGAGGAATATTATGTTATGAATTCAAAACAATTTTAACATGCTGCAAGATTTGAAAACTGAAACTTTTGAACGTTGTCGTCACATATACAGCTTCATATGAATGAGTTTTCTAACTCAGTTGGTTTTCTCGGTAACTCACGCGCTTCAGTGGTGAAGAGCTCTGGTACGAACCCTATTAAACTACGGTTCAAACAAGACAGCTCAAATCCGCATAAGGAAGTAAAAATAGCAACACATACGTTTTATATCACTTTTGCATTTGTTAACGCTATCGGGAAGGTTTAGGCTGCCAGGGTCACGTATTGAACTCGCGTTTTAGCGCCACCCTCTGGACGTTTCATTTTAAAACTGCCGCGAAACATTTAGTAAGGTATGTAATAATGGTGTTACAGAAATGTATTTAGAAGCACGTATTTCGAATGATCCTGGGTTGGGTAATTGAGAACAAATGGGGAAAAGTCATGTGAGAGGAGGCAATGCCTCCAAACCATTATGATTGGCCTTTTACACTGTTCATGCAATAAATCCTACACTGTAAAAAAAAATCCGTAAAATGTACGGTAAAAAAACGGCAGCTGTGGTTGCCGGAATTTTACCGTAAAAAATACAGTAGCAACATTTTAGGTTTTACGGTTTAACTTAAATTTACAGTTAAATACCGTAATTTCATTAACTGATATAATGTTAATATACCAACCTATTGAAGTACTGAAATCTGTTTTGTACCATTGTAATACACTGATAACCACCAAATGCAGGTGGTGATGAGAAAGTTACATGATGAACCAAAGCCCATCACAAGCAGCTTTTAAATAATAACATATATAGAAGATGCACAGTGTCATTCACACAAACACTAAACACCATCATGGTAACACACATGAAACTGAAATAATGCAATAAACATTCATTTAACAACATTAGGTGTAACACACAACCCTAATATACAAAACTGAAAAGAAAAAACTAAGAAGAAACAGTTATTTCAACAAAAAAACATCAAATTTGAAATGTAACGCAAGGAATTCTGGGAATGTCAATTTACGGTTATTCACTTTAAATTATACGGTCTTTTTCACTTCCAAAAACGGTATACTACCGTAAAATTAATGTCCAATACATGTAATGTCCAATACAGTTTTTCACCGTATATAGTAGGGGAATTTACCGTTAACCATTTAACAGGTTTTTGCTGTAGCATTTTTACAGTCTTTTACCGTTAAATTCACGGTAATTTTTTTACAGTGTACCTCTGTATAGATTGTTCTGAATAAGGCTGGGCGATAATGCAAAAAAAAATAAAAATCTAGATTTTTTTCAGAACATTTGACCGATTCTCGATTTTGACGATTTTTTAACTAGTCAGCTTGAAAATGTAACTACAACATGATTCAAGTAACTTTTTCTTTATTAACCCTCTAGGTAAGAAAACTCTATTCGAAGTGCAGCACACATGAAGTTGTCAACATGATGTAAATTTTAAACAAATCACTTATTAAATATATTTGCAGAAAAGATGCATGAACTACAACTACATCTTGCACAAACTTGTCTTATTATGTGTTCAGAAATAATACGAGAAAATGCTTTTTAAAAAATTCTCAAAAGTCAAGGTAGACAACAGTAGCCTGTTATTAACTATAAATGTTCTGTAACAACAATGAACAGCAGCTTTAAGTCTGTCACCATGATGCAAACATGAAATATCAAACATACAGTAGTAGGTACAGGTTTTGGTTACATGTTTTATCATTGGCATATTGTCAAAGTGTCTAATTCTAGTGTTTGGTAATGTTTCTGATTACTCGATTTCTACAAAATTAAAAAAAACTTTAAATACTGATTCTGACTATTAAAGATAACAGCTAAGCATCAATTCACAAATAAAAATAGACATGAAAGTTGCTCTGTGTTCTTATAGTTACTATTTTGGAATAAATGTAAAAATGCTTAAAAAACTTGATGAGATATATTCTTAGTTTTGATTAATAAAACATTTGTAATATAATAATACAAATTAAAATAGTATTGTCTGTTGGTTTTTTGAAAGTGTAGCAACATTTATTTATTTAACCTGAAAGATGTGGTAACATTAGTTATGCTATAACTGGAACATCATTTTACATTGCATTAAACTTAAAGGCAGTGAGAACTTTGCCTCCTCATTTCAGATCACATACTGCTAGCGAAGGTTTTTTGCGTGCATGGCTCTCTCTGACAGCACTCTCTGGGGTATTCATGCTCTTACTGTCCAATTCGGTGAATAAGCACAAACCCGAGTGCTGAAGTCAGGACTGCACTGTCGGTAAGATCAGTAAGCACTGCAGTCAAGAGGAGCTTCTCTCTGTCTCTCTCTTTACTGTAAATGCAGTCGCAGCAGGGGCAATTCTAGGCTTTTCATTTTAGGGGGGCTCAGCCCCCAGTGAGGGTATAATAATAATAATAGCCTGATAATAAATATATATATAGCCTTTATAAATAAAATAAAAAATGTTTGATTAATAGGGGTCGTATTGTAACCAATTTTACTGTTTGCATTTCTAGTACAACCCTCTTTCCTTAGCTCAAGTATGCAAACCTCTTTGCCACATGCACTGGAATATGTATTATATTGAAAGTTACATTTTCAAATGAAAATGGCAACATGATCGTTTTATGCGTTCATATGTGTTTCATTTTCGCTGGAGGAAACAGCGGTGGTGTGATGAGGGGTGAACGCAGTGAAAACTACAGTAGATTTGAAACCGATTATTGCTCCCCCATGATATTTTGTAAACTGGATTTATTATGACAAAGAACTGCACAGATGCAGAAATTATAACAATCTATCGATCTGCACCGCCGCATTCAGCGAATTGAAAAATAACGCGCTGAAAGACGGGGAGGAGCCGATCGAAGTCTGCCGTCGTTTTCATATGAAATTTAAAGGGGATTGAGGCGATCACGAATTTGTGTACAGTTTATGGAGCTAATCGCTATAGCCCCCCTAAAAATGGCCGAGCGACGCCCATGAGTCGCAGTCAGACGGCAGCGCTCCTTGGGGACTGTAGATCTCTTTCCATCAGGGGCCGCGTGACCCTTAACAAACACGTGGATGTAGTGCCAAGTAGTGTTGCTTTCGTCAACGATAAAACTAGACTAAATGTCATCAGTTTTCGTCGACTAAAACTAGACAAAAATAGTCATGGATAATTCTGACTAAAATAAGACTAAAATGCTCAGACTTTTAGTTGACTAAAACTTGACTAGACTAAAAAGAGTATGAACGTGACTAAAACTAATAAAAACTAAAATGACAGCTTCACACAAAGACTAGACTAAAACTAAAATTAAAACAGGCCGCCGAAAACAACACTAGTGCCAAGTCAATTATCACTAGTAGTGATTTGATCAGACTAAAGTAAGTATTAATGTTCAGTGTGTGCTCCAGACATGAGAGGTGTGTTGGTACTTTACTAAGTGATCAGACACACTACTTACTGGATGATAAAACAGGAGAAAAAGTCCCACGAAGGGGAATGTCCAAGCACATTGAAGGAGGAAGCCGAGCCATATCTAGAGACCAGAAGATCACAGGTGGACTTTTTTCATGTTGGACCCAGAAATTCATGAAAATCACCTAGCAACACCCTAGCAACCACCCACAACAGCACAGCATCAAAGCGACTTTTGGATGTCCAACCCTATTCACACTGTCCTCGGGGAAAGCCAAAAATCTAGTTGTTAACGTGTCCTCTCGTTATCTTCTTATTGTGTAAAGGCACCGATATACTCGTTTTTTTTGTTCTTCACTGAAGGATAAAAAGAGCATCCTGACTCATCACACTGCTGGGAGTTGCCTTTTAATGAATAGGCAAATATTAGGGGTGTAACGGTACACATAAAAAATGCTTTGGTACGGTTTCTGTACAGCAGGGGGAAAAGCTAAACATAAAATTGCTTCTTTTTTCCCTTTTTATTAAATAGTGGTTTACTGAACAAATAATGGCTGCATACAGGGAGCCCTGTTACTTACACAGTACTATAATATTAAAGGTTACACTTAGAGCCCAAACTGTTAAATTCATTTTTATTTATTTTTAGATATAATTAACACTCAAATAAAATATTTCTATGCAAATATGTAAACTGCACACAAGGCAGTTTTTACATTAACTTCTAAATCTAAAAAAAATGATGTTCCTACTCCAATCCGTGCTGCCTTAAACTGAGTCACATACAGTGGGTACGGAAAGTATTCAGACCCCCTTAAATTTTTCACTCTTTGTTATATTGCAGCCATT